CCAATAAGGCCGCGCTTGTCTGCAGCATCCTTGATGGAGAACAGCGCGGGCAAGATGCCAAGCAAGGCGGCGCCAAACGCGACACCGATCCCCATATACCAACCCTGTTTCGCGACCTCGCTGCCAGACGCCATGACTTCGAGGCGTGTCGTCGGCGATGCCATCTCCAGCACTTCGAAGGTCTGGATGTGACCGAACCACTCGAGCGCGTAGCCGTGCGCGAGCATCGCGAAGACCACCATTATCCCTGCGGCGAGGCGGTGCGAGGCCGTACGCGCTCTCGCCTTACTGTCTTCGGCATGAGTAGAGGCGTTTGCCAGGGCACAACCCAGGACGCTCGCACCGAGCGGGAGCAGAAACGTGGCCGCGCTCGGGCCGAGGTCTCTCAAAATCACAGCGCTCGCGATCACACCTCCTGCCGTGAGGACACCAAAGACCAGGCTCAGCGCCGCAGGGAGGATGGTCCACTCGCGAGGTTTTCCAACGCCGATGACAGTCCCCAGCCCCAACCCCAGGGCGCCCATCGCGAAGTAAAAGGATGCCACCATCGCTCCGAAGACTTTCACGTTCATGCTCAGGGCGATCCCGCGCGCGAGCAACTTCGAGCGCGTCTCTGGGGTCGCCAGTGAGAGCGCGTCGAAGACCTCGAGCATCCCCATCGCCGCGCCGAGGCTCCCGATGAGCAAGGCCATGAAAGGAACGATGATCCATGCCACAAGCGGGATCCTCTTGCCGAGCGCTGCCAGAATGGTGCCTGCGAATGGGAGAATCGCTCCTCCCAGAGCGAGCGCCAGGAGCAAGTACATCCAGATTCCACCGGTACGAAACGCTTCGGCAAAAGAGTTCATATGTGATCCTCGTGTGAGGTTGGAGTTTGGGTGAGGACACCTCTTGGCCATGTACGGCCATCACGGCTCCAGACCCGAGTGTGATATCTTCGAGAGTCGAATATAACGATTTGACGCTATTATCCCAACACCATCTCGGCGCTTGTTATGCCAGCGGGAGCGGATGCGTCAGGAAGTCGTCAAGAACAGGAAAGGGCCAGACTCACGCGCGTGAGTCTGGCCCTTTCCTGTTCTTGACGACTTCTGCCTGGACAGTGCGTTCAGCGACGTCGGCGACGCGCCAGCCCCAGGAACCCGAGCAGGCCAAGCAACGCCAGCGAGCCTCCCGCAGGAGCAGCGGGCGCTGCAGTCTGGCAACCCTCGTCCTCGGCGCTGTTGTTGCCGCCGTTGTTCCCTCCGCCCGTGGAGTTGTTCTCACCGCCGGTGGCGTTGTTTCCGCCGCTGCTGTTGTTTCCTGCGGTCGTGTTGTTGCCCGATGGCGTCGTGTTGTTGCCTGGGTCGCCGTTCGGCGTGACCTCGGCGTAGCACTTGCCTTCCACGCAGATCTGGTCAGCCTCGCACATGACGTTCTCGCAAGGATCGACCTCGGGAGCGATACACTGACCAGCCTCACACGTCTCGCCCTCGGCGCATGTCACGCCATCGCAAGGATCGGTCGAGACGCACGCACCTTCCATGCAAGCTTCACCATCAGCGCAGGTGACGCCATCACAGGGGTCGACCGCTTCACAGACGCCTTCATTGCAGACCTCACCGTCGGCGCAGGTCACGCCATCGCAAGGATCGACATCCTCGCAGGTCCCCGCGTTGCACGCCTGACCATCAGGACAGGTGACGCCATCGCAAGGATCGGTCGAGACACACATCCCCTCGCGACACTCCTCTCCCATGGCGCACATGACGCCCTCGCAAGGGTCAAAGCCGCTCGAGAGCTGGCATGCGCTCTCGGGGTAGGGGGTGGGGAGCGCATACGAGGTCACGTTCCCGCCTGCGTTGGGGCAGTCCGTGTAGCCGCTATCCGGTGGGAAGGTCGTGCCCGTCCCGCAGCGCGTCGGCGTGCAGAGCTCGTAGGTGTCGCTCTTGAGACCGTTGCTCGTGAACGCGGTCACGCGCAAGCACTCGGTGGTCGAGCCGTTTTGAGAATAACTCCCCGTCTCGAACTCGATGAAGTCCCCCATGAACGCGTCGTTGGGGACGTTCCTGACGACCGCGTAGCTCGTACCCCCTTGCACATCGCCGAACTCGAGGACGTAGCGAATGCCGTAAGGCTGGGTGCGACAATTACTCGCCATCGAGAGCAGGACCTTGCTGTCCTCGGCGTTGCTGCCACCGCAGGAGTCCGCGAAGACCGGATCGTTGGGGCCTGGCTTGATCTTGGTCCAGTCCACGCCCATCTCGAGCACCTCGGGGTGCGTCGATGCCTTGGCGACCGAGAAGGTCACCTCGGCGACATAGGTGGGCGGAGGCTGGTTTGGATCGGGCGCGACGCTGTTGTCCTCGGTCTCATAGGTCAGCGTGTAGTCACCCTCGGGCAGCGGCGTGTTCACCCTGACCGAGTGATAGGTGTCGAACAGCACGTCCACGACCTTGTCGGTGGCGACCGGGAAGGTCTGCCCCTGGGCGTTCGAGAGCGTGAACTTGCTCGGGTTGATCGGCGTCACGTCCGAGGCGTTGAGCAAGATCACAGGCTGACGCGGCGCGACCTCACCATCCTGCATGAAGTAGTTCAACCGGAGCGTTGGAGGCGCCGGGCTGCATGCTTCCGCCTCGCTCGCGGGGAGCGCGAAGGTCGAGAGCGTCGCGATGGCGCCGCATACGGCGGCGAGTAGGAGCTGCTTGCGAGGATTCACCATGAGAACATTCACCTTCATAGGATGGGAGAGCGGGCGGAACGACATCCCAGGGGAGCGGGCAGGGTCGCTCGAGGCCCTTTTGAATTTCAGCTATTAGCTCTGATCTCGATGTTACCTTTTGCTCGAGAGGAGAGCAAGAATACGCGCTGGTGCTTTCATCATGCGGCTTTCCTCGCGCCGCGAGGCTTATGCCTTCGACCCGAGCCACACCTCGCGCGTAAAATCCTTTGGCGAGAGCCCGAGCGGGAGCGGCCCCGCCGGGACGATCTCGTTCCCCGTGCGCCCGAAGTAGCCATTGCGCGCGTGATCCAGGTTGGACGCCTCGAGCACCCCTGGCAGCTCGGTCATTCGCTCGAGCCATGCTCCCAGCTTGGGGTAAGAGGCGATGGTCCGCGCGTTGAGTTTAAAGCGCGAGTAATACACCGCGTCATGCCGGAACAGCGTCGGGAAGAGCCTGATATCAGCCTCTGTCGGGTGCTCGGTGTGCGCCAGCCACTTTTGCTCGCCGAGCCACTCCTCCAACCAGTCGAGCGCCCGAAAGTAGCGCTTGAACGCGCGCTCGTAGGCGTGCTGCGTGTCGGTGAACCCCGCCTTGTAGGCGCCGTTGTTGATGCGCTGATAGACCATCTCGTTGATGCGCTCGATCACATCCCGGTACATCGCCGGATACAGATCGACAGGACGCGTGGCGAACGCCTTGAAGGATTCGTTGAGCATCCTCAGGATCTCTGCCGATTCGTTGCTCACGATCGTCTCGGTCTGCGTGTCCCACAGCAGCGGCACGGATCGCTCGCTCGATCCCACCGAGTCATACAACTCGGCGATGTATCGCTTCCCCTGCGCCTGATCAGGGGTGCAGCCTGGAATCTCCGGGTTGAATTGCCACCCGTGCTCCGGGTCGCGCCGAAAGTATACGATCGATGCTCCGATCACATCCTCGAGCCCGAGCACCGCGCGCCCGAGCAACGCCCTGTGAGACCAGGGGCAGTTGTATGGGGCGTACAAATGGTAGCGGCCTGCCTGCGCGGGATACTTCCCTGAGCCATCTGCGCTGATCCACGAGCGCTCGTCCGAGACAGGGCGCACCCACTCGCCATCACCTCGCGTCAGTTGCTGGTCCTCCTCGACCCCGCCTTCGCCATGCTGTCCAAACCACTCGGCGCGAAAGTGCGGCGCGTCGAAATCAGGGATCCCGCCGAGCGGGATGATCTTTTTCGGGTTGAGGAGCGGCTCGACGAGGTAATGCCCCTGCTTGATGCGATCGAAGTCGGTGGTTTCATGAACCTCGGGCAGCTCGTACAGATCGCGCGCGTGATCGAGGATCGAGGGGTAGTAATCGAGCCACCCCACGCTCGCCTTGTACAGCTCGTAGTAAACCGGCTCGTGCCGCGCGCTGAAGGTGAACAGCAGGTAATCCGCGATATCCGGGTGATCTCCGCCGAGAAAGCGCGCGTCCTGGAGCGCCTCGTCCAACACCTCGAGCGAGGCCGCGAGCCTCGAGTGCTCCTCTTCGTAGGTCGCCTGATCATCGATCTGGCCAAGCTCGTAAACCGCGTCCAGGATGCCCTCGCGCAAGGACTCGATCTGAGCCTGGGCGTCGCGCTCGAAGAGCTTTGGCGCGAGCATGCGCGAGATGGTTATGGGATCATCGCACAGGATCTCGCGCGTCTTCTTGTCGAACAGGACCGGGAGCAAGACCTCCTCACCCAACACCTCGAGCGATGCCCCTCGTAACGGTCCATCCTCGAAACACTCGCGCAGAGGATCCCAGCTGGAGCACTCCAGCGGCTGCGCTCCGCGATGATCCTCGTGCCGGTAGCGCCACGCGCTTATCGCGACGAGGTGCCCCCATGGATCACTCGGAGAATAAGCTAGCGCGGCGCCATCGAGCGTGGCGAGCGGGTCGGGTTTCGATGGCGCGGTCCAGGGGAAGCGAAAGGGTCGGTGCATGAGGAGCCCTTTTTCATGAGGGTGATCGATGCCGGAGGCCACGGAGCACGAACGAGGTTTTTGCACGATTTCGAGTTTGTGGAAAGTCTCGCCGTGAACCTCGCAGAGGACGGAAAAAACAACGCGCCGTCGTTGGACACGAGCGGCGTGGCTGGTTAGCATCGGGCGCTTTTTGTCCCCTTGTTCGTTGCTCGGAGTTATCGCGTTGAACCCTTCCCATCCTCGAGAGATGTTGCCTCGCAAGATCCTCGTGGTGAATACCCTCGGTTTCCTGATCGCGTTCGCGGCGTGGGTGATGTTTGGCCCCTCGGTCCGCGTGATTTCACAAGATCTTCAAATCAGTGAAGGCATGGCCGTCTGGCTCAAGGCCGCGCCGATCCTGACAGGATCGCTCTTGCGCGCGCCGATCGGTGTGGTCACCGATCGCCTGGGCGCCAGGCTCGTGTTCACCGCCTTGCTCGTCGTCGGCGCCAAAACCTCGGTCGCAACCGCGCTCTCGTTCGCCACGAGCGCCACACAGCTCCTGGTCGGAGGCGTCCTGATGGGCGTCGTCGGCACGACCTTTGTCGTCGGCGTCCAGTCCGTCTCCTCCTGGTCACCTGCATCCAGGCAGGGGGTCGCGCTGGGGATCTTTGGCTTCGGGACCGCGGGCACCGCGTTCTCGACGCTGTTGATGCCGCTGCTGCTGGAGCAGCTCGGCTGGAGAGACTCCTTTCGCGTCTACGCCGTGCTGCTCGCCGCGAGCGCGGTGGCGTACTGGTTTGGCGTGCGCGATGTCGAGCGCCAGGGGGTATCACCGTCGCTAAAATCACTGCTCAGTCCGATCCTCGATCGTCGCACGTGGGCGTTTGGCATCTATTATATGGCGACCTTTGGCGTGTTCGTCGCGGGCGCGCTCTGCTTTGGCGACCTCTACATCGAGCGCTACGGCGTGGGGATGAAGACGGCCGGGATCATGGCGACCTCGTTCACGCTGACCGCCGCCGCTTCGCGCGTTCCGGGCGGGAGCCTCTCGGATAAGTTTGGCGCCAGACCTGTCCTGGGCATTTCTTTGCTGCTGACGGCGTTGTTTATGGCGCCCGTGCTGCTCACGCTGCCGCTCTGGCCGACGGTGACCTTGATCTTCCTCTCGGCGATCGCGATGGGGATCGGCATGGGCGCGACCTACAAATACATCCCGGAGTGCTTCCCCGAGAATGTGGGCGCTGTGGGAGGTCTGGTCGGGGCGATGGGCGGCGTGGCGGGGTTCTTCTTGCCGCTGCTCGGGAGCGTCTCGAAGTCGACCTTCGGCTCCCAGGTCGCCGAGCTGTTCCCGTTGTTCGCGATGATCCTTTGCGCGGTGCTCGTTTTGGTGCTCTCGAAACCTCGCAGAGAGGCCGCGTGAGCGGGGTCTGATGAATGCGAGGAGCGCGAG